CCGGGGCAGGGGCAGCCAGATTCAGCACCCGTGGGGTGGCAGTGGGACATCTCCACTGGTCTGGCCGTGTCCATCCCATCCCCGCCAGCCCCAAAGCCCTGTCCCCCATCCCAGGGTCTCCACTCCACTGTTTCCACCCCTGCTGACCCCATCCTGTCCCCACTGACCCCTCCCCACTGTCCCCACCAGCATGTCCTCATCCCACCATCCCCTCCAGTCCCCACTGCCCCCGTCCTGTACCCAATGTACCATCTCGTCTCCAACCCACCTCCTCGTCCTCATCCCACCATCCAGTCCCCATTCCAATCCCCCTCATCCTCACCCTGCCACCATCCTGTCCCCACCATCCCATCCTCCACGACCCATCCAGTCCTGCTGTCCCCATTCCAGTCCCCCCATCTCCATCTTGCCATCCCCATCCCCATCATCTCATCCCATTCCAATCCCATCCCATCTCCCTGTCCTTATCCCACGATTTTGTCCCTATCACTCTCATTATTCCATCCCCACTGTCCCCATCTTGCCACCCCATCCCCACTGTCCCATCCTGTCACCACCATTCCCATTCTCACCCCCCACTGTCCCATCCCGTCACCACCATTCCCATTCTCACCATCCCATTCCTCTGGTCCCCATCCCCTCCTCACCATCCCCATCCCATCCCCACCGTGCTCATGGTCCCCATCCAGCCATCCCATCCCACTTCCCTGTCCTCAACCCACCATCCCATCCCACCTCCCTGTCCTGATCCCATCATCCCATCCCCACCATCCCATTTCTCTGCTCCCCATCCCCTCCTCACCATCTTCATCCCATCCCCATGGTCCCCATCCAGCCATCCCATCCCACCTCCCTGTCCTGATCCCATCATTCCATCCCCACCATCTAATCCTGTCCAATCCCGACCCCCTCTCTGCCATCCTGTCCCCATACCATCCTGTTCCCACCACCCCATCCCCACCATTCCCTCCATCGCAGTCCCCAGTCCCCATCCCACTATCCCATCCCATCTTCGTCCTCATCCCACTATCCCATTCCCACTGTACCACCCCACCCCCACTGTCCCATCCCATTGCCAACATTCCCATTCCCACCATCCCATCCCCACCACTCCCACAATCCCACAATCCCACCCCCCTGGTCCCCATCCTGCCATCCCATCCCCACCATTCCCATCTCATCCCCACTGTCTCATCCTATCCTAACCCCATCACCCTATCCCCCTGGTCCCCATCCCATTCCCACCATCCCATCCTCACCATTCTCTTTGCCACCATCTTGTCCCCCTGGTCCCACCATCCCATCCTCACCATTCCATCCCATCCCCACCTTTCCCATTCCCACCATTCCACCTCCCTGGTCCCCATCCTGCCATCCCATCCCCACCACCCCATCCAATCCCCTCCATTCCCATTCCCAGCATCCCATCTGCCTGGTCCCCATTGGCTGTCTCATCTCTATTGTCCTATCCCATCCCCATTCCCACCAGCCCATCTCCCTGGTCTCCATCGCACCATCCAATCCTACCACCCCATCCCATCTCCCTGATCCCCTTCCCTCCATGCTATTTCCACCATCCCATCCCATCCCATCCCATCCCATCCCATCCCATCCCATCCCATCCCATCTTCCTGGCATCCTTTCCCCATTCTCACCATCCCATCTTCCTGGTCTTCATCCCACCATCCCATCCTGTCTCCCTGATCTTCCCACCATTCCCATTATCCCATCCCCACCATCACCTGGTACCGGGCATCGTAGACCTTGCGTGCGGTGACAGTGAGGGGCACCTCCAGCAGCGCCAGCAGTGCCAGGTGGGGTGACAGCCCCACCATGAAGCCACCCAACCCCAACACTGTCACCAAACTCCGCAACCCTATGTTGATGCTTCTCGGCACCGCCTGGCACAGCAAGGGCACATCATTGGCCAACCGGGTGGACAGCTCGGCTGTGGAGACAGTGAGGGGTCAATGGTGGGGTTGGAGGTCCTGGGGTGGGGTGGGATGATGGGGACCCCCACTACCTGCCGGTGTCCCCTGGAAGAAGGCCAGATCTTGACGCACCAGGCGGGAGAAGAGCTGGTGACGGGTGTTCAGTTTGAGTCGGGCTTGCGCCAAGATGAAGAG